TTTTGGTGATAACAAACAAATGCAAGAAAGTCACATATTTACCAACACATGTTCTACGCCACTACATACTTAGATTTAAATGTGTGCTGCGTCGGTTCAGCCGTTCTCCGCAAGGGTTTTTGAAATTAGTCCGTGCGCAAAGCATTGTGGGGATTTGAAGGACGCGAAGTCTACCCATGTGCAGCCTCGAAATTACCACCAAACCAAGGACGTGGCCTCGGTGGAATTCCAAGTATGCTGGAGATTGGAACATTCCTTCGGCGGCACTCAATGACATAGTATCCTTGAAATATTGGCTTGGAAGCCAGTTTCCTCGCGATTGAGAAACGGCCTCTGTATGTGAACAGACGTCTCTCGCTACCTGCTCTGGGATTGATGGTGATTCTGTTAACAGGGGTTAACTCGTGTGGTATTATTGTGTGGTTAGTATTGTGTGATAGTTACCTCAGCTGTGTTTTCTTACAGCTTCCTTTTCTTTAGTTTGTACCACTGCAATAGTGAGGGTTATTTTTGCTTAGTATGTATATACCTTGTATTTAAGTAGGCTAACTTATTAGAGTCCTCCCTTCGTTTGGTTGCCAATTTAAACTTGAGCCCTTGTGGCCACCTTTGTTTGTTAGTTAAACCGGTGCTTTTGTGGCACTTTGTTTCTTTCAGGCTGCCTGCCTGCCATTTTGTTGCTTGCTGTACAATAAAACTCCTTATAATTATTACCAATTCCATGCTGGTGTATGTTGCATTCCTCTTCCCCTAGTTGGGACGTAACAGTACTCCTCATCAAACATGAGTGAATGAGGTGCCACACAGTGACAGGAGGAGAAGACTAGTGCTGCTCCATCTCCGTGCACGGTGAGGAAAAGTCATCCCCTCTCCTCCAACTATGAAGGTGATCACTGACTCAGATTTGAGGATGCTCATGCTAAAATAACTGTTTTCACTAAGTAAAAAAAGGCTCAAGATTCCACCATTGTGGGCTCAACAATGTACCCAGGGTCGGCGTCATGGGGGGTCATTCGCGGGCCATGCCCCCCAAAATGAGTCACTGTGCCCCCCCAACGCAGGGCGGGCAAGCCTTGCCACTTTTTTAATTTTTTTTATCACATAAGTGAAAACGTTTCCACTAAAAGTTTTTTGTGTGAAATAAATCAGAAATAAAGAATACAAATATAAAACACAGCCTGAGGTGTGCTCACTGCTGCTCTCTGATTGGTGTGTAGCTTGACCAATGACCCCCGACCTTTGTTTTGCTATAATTACGATTAAATCAAAATCAAAAACAGGTATGAAATACTATAGGACAGTAACACAAGAATACAGTTTAAAAGGGGAGTGATTAGTAAAATATCCATAAAGAAAAAGTAGCCTACATATGTTTACAGTTCTGTTTCATCTGGGTGTTGAGAGATGTAGTCATAGATCTCTTCATTTTGCTCTCAAAGTTCACCAGATTGATGCATTTAACTTCAATATTTTAAAAAAATCTTCCAGGGGGAGCATGCCCCCAGACCCTCCTAGAGGAGGTTAGGTCCACCCCCAACCTAAAACATGTTCACATGGATAGGATGCTAAATACATTTGCACACTTTTTATATGGTGGCCTATGTCCATATGTTTCTGTTTTTCATGTATGCACAAGTCATAGGTGCGCTATAAAATAGCACTACACCCCTTCAATGTGTGTGAAAGACAATAGACTTTACGGCATGTTTGTTTTAATTGAAGTTGCGTTGGTGTTTGTGTGTTGGTTGTTGACGGCAGTGTGTGCCCCCCGTGGTAAATGATTGCCCCCCCGTTCGATTTGTTCTAGAGCCGACCCTGAATGTACCTGGTAAATGTAACCGTTGTCAGTGACAGACGGCTGGGTGGAGGCCACACTGCGAGGGCCCACAGCCATCTTCAGGATCCCCTCACAACCTGCAACAAGGGAGGAAGAACTCCACCTCAATACAGCACAATAATCCTTTTATCGTTTGGTTTTTCCATTTCAAAATGAAATAGAAGAAATGTAAGAGATTTATTTTCTTAAATATTTGTGACTTATAATCTTAGAGAATGGTATTTGTTTAAATGTTTCTGTTTAGGATTTAAAACAGAAAACACAAAAAGAAGAAAACAAAAGAAAAGAAGGAAAGATTTGCAGATGAATACATCACTTCAGGAAGGCTATCAACATGTTATGGAATAGTTTAACATTTTGAGGACTACTGCAACTGCAGTAAGCTTAACACAATGCTTGGAAACAGAAGGAAAAGAGCTAGCCTGGCTCATCCTAATGCATATTAAATGCAGTAGTGAGCTGATTCTCCACTCTACCTCTTTGGTACGTCATTTACATATGTCTGCATGTCTTACCTTTAATGGCGAGCACTCCGTGGCAAAAGTCTTTGAAGTTGATCTTCCCATGAGCGTTAGGATCCAGGTACCTGGTTAACTTCTTCACCTGCAACAGACACAAGAGATTTTTACAACACAGTACTGCACCCTGGATCCTCAGACCGTCTGCATCAGGCATTAGTTCTGTTGAAGAGTATAACCCTCTTTCATCACCACAATGGCTGTGAATTTAAGATATGCTAGTGACCTGGCTTTATGTCATAAATGTGTGCTGATTAGCCGCTACATCATTTTTTGTTATTTTGAAAAAGAAAAGATCATTTTTGGTAAAGATTTCTATTACAGTATGTCAGAGTGTCCAATAAGTATAAGTGACCAAAACCTACCTAAGCGTCCTCGGGTTTATGAAAGGCGCTATATATGTATAAATATATGTAAGTTATTATTATTATTATCACCTACCTGGATACAATGCATGCTAAGCTAACATGGTGATTACAGTTCACATTATACGGGCCACATTAGTTTGCCAACATTGTGATTGTCAGTATAATGTAACAACAACAGATTCCAACCAATCCATGTTGGACTCTGCAGGAAAGCTAGCTAACATTAGCTGTTAGCAGCAGGTAAACAGAACAAATACACACACAACATTTAAATGAAATGTTTTCTATGTGCTTTTATAATTATAGCATTGTTACCTTAGTGGAATAAGGGGATTTGAAAGGGATCGGTGTTCAATGTCTCAAATGTAGCCTCTGCATTTACCCATGCTATAAGGAGCAGTGTGCAGCTATTAGATACACCTTACAGGAAGCCTTGATATGAAATATATATAGAGATGAATAACCCCTAGTGTGCTTGCAGTAAAGGAACAGCTGTGTGGTATTCAGATGTTATTTCATACGCTGACTGCAGAGAATTAATCACCATAGAAACGGGTGTTTTACAAACGACACTTGAGTGCTGCACCGTCTCATAGGCTGCTTCATTACTTAATAACCGACCAATCCGCTCAGAGACTCCTCGCCAGGCTCTCATCGCCATGGTGACAAAGAACACAGAGATGAGAGGCGATGTGAGGGAGGGAGATGGAGGAAAAGCTACCTCTTAGTACGACGGAGTTATTTGTAGTAGTGTGTTCATGGTGCTCAGCCGCCATGACAGCTTAAAGGAGAATCTACTCTCATTCTTCTGAAACACTCACAGGCGCATAAAGGACCTCACCTGCACCTTCCTACAATACTGATTCACATTTAGTTCAAGATAATGTTTTACACAGCTGTCTTCAAACCATATGGTGTGACTAAATACAGTATAACAAATTAGGCCTCATCTGAAGCCTATATTTTAAATTAAAACTAAATTAAAAAACAACAAATTAAAGACCCCCATGGTTCATCACTGCAGATGTATATATGTAATGTTCATTTACTTCTTAAACTGGAAACATGGCTGATTATAATATGTGGTAAAAATGTATGAATAGACAGGTGTGTAAGTACTTTTATTTGTGTGTGTATTGCTGGCTATGTGTATATACATATATGTATTTAAGGGTACATAAGTGATTGACATAAGGACTTGTATATGTATATGAGGTTTTGCTAAAGTATAATTTATAAATTATTGTATCTTTTTATTTATATTCAAAACTGAAAAATGTATAGGCTGCGAAAATATCTGCCATCCTGTCCATCCAAAAAAATAAGAATTCAAAATAAGCTTTTACATTTATGATGACAATATCTCAAATATATGTTTTTAGCTGCTTTTAAAAGTATGATTTATGAAATATATAATTAAGAACTATATACTTTTAATAGAATAAAGACATCTTTGATTGCAGTTAAGAAGTCCACATTATTTGCCTCAGTATTTATCACAGTAGATTTGGAAAAGGTTTGAGTTATGTATCGATTTGATTCTAGAAAGTTAACTGGAATTAATTGTTTATTAAATCATTTTTTTCAGTGAAACGAAACAGCATCTCAGTGCGTGTGTTTTTGTAGGAAAGGTTATTGGACATCCATCCTCTAACCTCAGGTGGCTTAGGAAGAGTCAAAGTCTAGGATTAGCCACTTCACATATTTTTAAGATTTAATTCAAATTCTTCTGGGCAGCCACCGGTTTGAATTTTTCAGCAGGGTATGAAAAAAACTGCTATGAATAAGTATACATTGGGAAAGCCTTATTAAGCGTTTATGTGTAAATGCAGTTGCACACTTGGAGCGTATTGAAAGCTGTTGAGGATTCAATGCCCAATGTTTAATATGCGGCTAAAACATTTCAATGTTGGCAGAAAGATCAAACTGCCAGAGCTCATGTAAACAACAGGCTTTTGAAATGTGGCAACTTGACATGACAAAAAGGTATCTAAAACTTTGCATTATACTTTTAAACTCCTCTTAACCCCTCTTAACCATAGACCAACTTTGGTATTTTCTAGAAGGAGGGGAGATAGCAGGTAACAATAAATGCCACCTGTTAATATCAGTATCAGTGCATTAAAACAACCCAAAGAGTGGAGAAAACAGTATTTCTCCAACACCACCAAAGTGGTTTACATCATCTGAACGCTGGCAACCTGAAGATTAGAGATGCACTCAGCACTGTGTAAGATATTGAATAAACTTTCCTTTGAATGGGGTCCTATCTTAATGTTTGAAGAATATTAGATTGATTACCATTTCCATGCTCTACTACGTCTCAAGTTGTTATGGTACTTTTTGGGATGATAGATTTTGTAACACAGAATTTAAATTAGTTAAATTATTTTTGATTGATATCAAATGGTCAAAAAGCTTTCACATTCGGAGACATTTTTCAGCAATCGGATAACTATTACTTCGCTAATGGAAACTGAGTATAGCACCTATAGTGACTTGTGTTAAGTAACTAAGTACATTTACTCAAGTACTGCTATTAAGTACAATTGTGAGATACTTGTACTTTACTTGAGTATTTCCATTTGATTCTGTGTACTTCTACTCCACTACAATTCAGAGGTGAATGGTGTACTTTCCCTTGACTACATGTATTTAATACCTTTAGTTACTTTACAGATGTGGATGAATGATGTGGAATATAACCAAGTGTTAAATTAGACTTTAGTTCCACCTGGAGTAAATTCACAAGCTACCCTGCAGTATACAAAGTCATTCAAACTAGCTGCACCTTTACCAGCTTTGAGAACACTTTCATGATCAATCATTATAAAACATATCATATATATTATTCTGAAATGGACCAATCTGCACAATGACAATTTACTTTTGGTGCTAATACTTTTGTACATGACTTGTAACAGAGTAGCCTATTCCTACACTCTGGTACTTTTACTCAAGTAAGATCTTAGTACTTCTTCCAGCTCTGCCTATATACTGAAAAAACGGAAACGTTTACTTTAATTAAATGTATTATGTCAACTGTATTAGGTTAGTTAAAAGCAATAATATAAAGTTATTTGATATCCAGTTTAATATTAAAACGACAGTCTAGTTAGCTTAACACTGAACATGTAAAGAACATACAGTCAATAGTTAGCAACTGAACACACATGCAAAGCACCTATAATCTCATACTAACATGTACATTTACGCGTTATTATTCAGCTAACTATAGATAGGTAAGCACCTACTGAAGAGAAATGTAAAATACCTATATTAGGCCTATATATCCAGCTAAATATTGAAAAGACATGTTAGGCAACTACAGTCTATAGTTAGCTAAACACTGAACATGTAAATAACATATCAGTCAATAGTTAGCAACTGAACACCCGTGAAAAGCACACACAGACTATATTTAGCTAAATAATGAACATGTAAAGCATGCAGTATAGTCTATAGCTAAACACTGAGCATGCAAGGAACATATATTCAGTTAGCTACTGAATACATAGCCGAATAGCCTTCGAAACACTCATGTTGGTAAAGCACAGATCTTATAATTAGCTAAATAAAAAACACAAAGCACCTATAGTCTACGATTAGCTGAATACTGATATAAATATAAAAGCACAAATGGTCTATATTTAGCGGAAACGTCCTGTCCTCCAGCCTCTCACCTCGTCTCCTTGGCCGAACTGCAGCCCGAGGTCCACCAGGTGCTCAACGCGGATGAATCCGTCCGCATCTTCGTCACAGACATCGAAAACCTCCTTGAGCCTCCGGAGAAACTGCAGGAGCTGCTCCTGGTCAGGAACATTTCCTTCCATCGCAGAGCTGCTTGGTATTTTTTTTTTCCTGTTAAAGAATGTCTGTGACGGTCACAATCATCACCGTCGTCTTCTCCTTCATCCCGTCCTCCGCTCTCCTCCGCCGAACCGACTGCTGCTGCTGCCGTGACATAAGCTGCGGCGCGTGCTCAAGAAGCGCGAGAAGTGACGGAAAAGGCCGATGATAAACGATTGAGGCACGAGGCATTGCGTCACAAACCGGCAGCTCATTAATAATCCAGGTGTGTTACCGTGTTACCAGTCTCCGAAATATGCCCTTTCGGCTGTTTTCAAAGATGCAGTAGAGCCAAGTTCAACAAAAAAAGAGAATATAGTACACACAATGCAAGGAATGGCATCAAAATAATAATGGTTGGAACTGGAAGAATTCAAGATTATGATTTAAAGCAATGCATATCATTTCTGAAAATACATTCTTCTTGGTTGCATTCAGATGTAATAAAGCACAGCATGAAGCAACGCTCATATATTAGCAGCTAATACATGAGCAAAGTTGAAATGTGTGTCTGTAACCAACATTACTTAGTCAGTTGCAGACAGCAAACACATCTTCATCTAATTTTTGAACATAATCACTATGTAAATGTGTATCCCACAATGCAATGCAAAAAAGAAATGGAGTTAGTACAAGCAGCTAAAAAAATATTTTTGAAAACTGACCATGGTGGTGACACAGCTCCAGGTAGATCCTTATAAAAAATAACCAAAAAAAACATTGAGCTATGGTGTTTAGTTCGCTTGACCTTAAGTTGGATTGAATGCAGGCACCTTATCCTTTCCTGTTAATACAATGGGAGAGTTGGGATTCAGCATGTGCCTTTGTTTCATATATTTGATGTAGTAAGTCTACATTTTAAATGACATAGGGAATCAATGTTTCATATAGCATTCCTGTCATTCTTTTCTTCTCCTGGAAGAAATGGCTTTTCATGAAAGGAAGCATTACTACATTGCAATAATACTATAGACCAAGGATTTTATTAGAAAAACGGTTTATACAAGACTGATATCAACCCAATACTGTACAAAACATAAAACCATTATGTCTCTGTCCTGGAAGTCACTCGTTCCACCAACATATTAAAACACAATACTTCATATCTTGAATGCAAAACATATTCCACTTTTCAATACTTACACCTACACTAGCTTTTCTGTGCAAATAATGAGTTATTGAGGAGTACATCTAAGAGAATATAATCAACCTTCATCACATTCCTTAGCCGTAATGTACAATGCACAGGAATGACTCCCCAGTTTAAGTCAAGCTGAAGGATCCTGAAATAAAAAATAAGTAGAGAAACAGCTTGATCCATTTTTAGATGATCAGCCTTGGTTCCAGCAGGGAGTCCCAGCGCTCTGTCACCTGTGGGATGAGATGAAGACGAATATGCTTAGAAATATGCTTATACGCATATGAATTATTCACCACTTTGAATGAGTAGGTACTTGTTGCCATCAATGTGGCATTAGCTGCTTTCGACCAGCATTTGGGTAGAAATGAATAGGCCTGGTTAATGTTCTGTGAGGTTTATCATATATACGATGTGATCCAGTCCAGCCGCTTTGGATCTCAGCACTACTGCTCACAACTTTATACTCTTCATAACACACAAAACCCTTATCTGCTCTGAGTTTAATATATTTATTACAGTTATAGTCGTATAGTGTAGTAGTACAATGTGCACAATTTTATGTTTGCATAAGTATTTGTTTGAATTGTTATTGAACATTTTTGACATTTTGTTTGTTTGTTAAAAAGGTCCCTTATTATATATGTATATATAAGATAAGATGTGCTTTATTAATCCCCATTTGGGATTTTGTTATTGTTGCAGCAGCATAAAACAAAACAAGGCATTGCATATAATAACAAATTATAAGAGTAGAAATAAAACAATTCTAAAATATAAACATCACAAAATAGAATAAACCAGCATTAGAGAGTAAGAAAAATATACAGATGACAGTTAAGATAACAAATCTATAAACTGTCTGACAAATAAAAACACTATTGAAGTAAATATAATTGACAAACAGACATGAGATTGATTGCCCTCCTTCACCTTCCTTTCCCTTAAGGTTAAAGTATTCCTTTAACAATAAATCAGTAGTTCAATATGTTACCTGAGAGCCTCTAGACACGGCGTACTCCACGCTCTCAGAGCCGTCTGCGTTCTGATACACAAGGTCAAACTTGCCCGGCTCAACAGGAGCTGAGGAAGAATGACATTTTTTTTTTAATGTATGCATTACGACACCTTGTCAAATTCCTTGTGCGTGTGAACCTACCTGGTAATAAACCTGATTCTGATTCTGTTTACATATAGATAAGCCTCGCCTACTATCCGGAGCGTTTAGTTTGAGTGACAAGAGGAATACAAATCATATCGCGTTCAAACTTGTGCGAGTACTGCAATGCGATATTTTCTTTGCCCCCAGTGTTTTGGAAGACAAACCTTTTTGAATGTTGACACTTTAAATTAGCCATTTTTGAATAATATCAATGATGTAAGTGGTGCAAGGGTCCTTACCTTGATAGGTATAAAGAAGTTCCAGCTCGATCTGTTCGGTGGTTGGGTCAAAGCTCACAAGCTTTCCTTCCTAAAATGAGAAGCAACATGTGGGTCAGTAGTGTGGGGATTCCAGTATGATGAAGTCAGAGACAATCACACCTACCTTATACTCTGATACTTCCGGTGTGTAGTTCTCTGTTAGCTCTAGTAACTGTGAACACACACAAATGTTTATTGTAAATACATTAAAAAGGAAAAATAGTGGTGAGTGTTACGGCTGCTGTTTCTGCCTGCTCGGTAACCTGTCTGGGATTGTTTGCAGCTGTGTGTGATTATGTAAATGAGCTGTGTGGTTGCCCCAACGTCATTGGCTGTCATCTTCTGGTCCACTTCCGAGGACACTGATTGGA